AAGGGACTCTGGGCAAGAGGGACTGAGCAAGCTGATGTGTTTTCAACCATTAGGAAATTGGTCACGGCTACACAAAACAGACTTATTCAGAGGGAAAAGCCATAGCCAAGCCTGTCAAAAAGCTGATGTTAATATTTCTTCTTAATCCTACCCTCAACAACCTACCCCTCATCTAAAGGGCTTCATTATTTGCACAGAACACAGGCATATTGCACTCCTTGATGAAAACAGGTTCACAACTGCCTGGGTCTGACAGCCCTCACTGCAGTAGACCTTCCCAGTTGGACATAGCCCAACCCAGTCACTTATTAATCCAAACATCTCTAATTAAGGCAAATTTGTTCCCTTTTTTAATATTTAAAAATCATTCCCCTCCCTGGCCCCCCACCCATGTACCCATTAGGTGGTAATGGTAGTGAGATGTAGCAAGTATAGGTTTAGGTAGACTCCACTGCTCCATCATTCACTGGATGTGGTGCGGAGGTGGTCAGGAACATAATTTGAGAGGCTGAGCCTAAGGTACAGGAAAGCTATTTAAATAAGGGCTTAGGGTGCGGGGAGGTACTTTGTAGGTGTCCCTGCTCTGTGTCCAATCACAAAGGAGACCCCACTGTGTCTGTAGCCAGGGGTGCATAGATATTGTGGATGAGCAGAGATGTTCACCCCTTGTTTTCACAGCCTTTAGATGAAGGGGAATGGGCATCTGGAACAGGACAGTAGTAATAGTGGGGCAGAGGCTAGGTACCAGTTATAGGGTCCTCGCCCAGGCACTTTTAAACCGTCAGAAGTTTCCATGATTGGCTCAGGAGAGTGGGCAGGGAGCTCTTTGGCCCCCCCACAACCTAGCTTGATACTGTTACCAGTGGGCTTACTCTGCCAGTCACTGGAAACTCAGTAATGATGCAGGATAGCCAGCAGCATACGAGACATGCCCACCAACCGCTCCTTGGCCCAAGCTATCCTCTAGATGATCAGAAGCAAGAGGGTCCCACAGTCAGTAACACACTAGGATCTGCAGCTCCCACTCAGAATCATGGCATCCAGTGTCACACTCTGGCAGCTAAATGCACAGGGCTGCTCTTTTTCCTTCTCCTGCTAAAGGCATTTGGGTAAATGCAGTAGTTCCAGATGAAAGTCTTCACATGGTTATCACAAAAAAAAATTTTAAAAAATGCTAAAACAAATGGGAAGGGTCATACAGTAGTGATGGTAACTTCTGGTAGAACAAGGAGGAGCAGAAGCGATCAGCAAAGTATTTGGCACATGTTACAAGAGTTTAAATTATAAAACGCTTCTCCTGATGCCAGCTGTTACTTTGATCATTGATTGGAGGCGAAGAGGAAGACATTCTCTGGAGCATGCAGGGACTGAAAGAACCAGTCAGACACCCCAACGCATCTCCCACCCCTTTCTGTTCTGCAGTTTGTGCATTCACATGTTAGTGCTGGGGTGTTGTTGGGGTTTTTTGCAGTCATAGCCACCTCCCTCCCCTGTTCTGTCTCAGCTCTTCCCTGAGGAGGCTGCCAGGAGATGCTGTGGTTTCCAGCTATGTGACAAGCTCTCTGCAGCTCACAGGCAGGTTTTGCCCCAGGTTCTGGACGTTGTTGCCAAGGACATGTTAAGGAGAGAGAAGGTAAAGGAATATCGGGCGAAGTGTCAGGAGCTGCTGCTCAAGGCTTGGCTGAAAGCTCGCCGACGTGCTGCCGGAGGTGGAACACAAATTCAAACATGGTGGCTGCCAGGCTTTGATGAATAAGGTAGCGAGGAAGTCGACCCTACAAGAAACCCCAAACAAACAGATTATGATTCATGTAGTTTGTAACACTCTGGGTTCAGACATATGGTTCCTGTAGAGCCAGTTTCACTAGGAATCAGCTACACAAAAAACTTCATGACAAAGAGCCACCCACCCATTTCAAACTGCACTTGACCTTGCCCTCTGGTTTCTAGCACGAGTCTGTTCACCTTTTGGTCACAGATGGCTTCAAGACAGATGTCCCTGTGAATTACACCAATGTGTCTCAGAGGCAGCTGTTTTGAAGCAACTGCATTTGTGTGGGAAGAGCAGTGGTGGAGACAGGCCTGTCCAACTGATCTGAGAGCACTACAGTCAAAAGCAGCAGCAGCAGCTCACAAGGCTTCCACAGCAAAGATACTCAAGCTAGTTCTTTCCCATGGGAGGGGTCTGACAGCAGAGTGAGACAGGGACCAGCTTTTTTATTTTGTTCAGTGGGCAACCTAGCCATAAGGGCTACCTTAAGACAGCCAAGAACTTCAGCAAATGATCAGTGATAGGTCCTGATTTACTCTCCAAAGCAATTCCAACAGCACGCTCTTC